TCTAATGTTGAACCATCCTTGCATGCCTGGCATATATTCTACTTGGTTGTTGCTTTTTGAGTTGTGGTGTTGGTGAAGAATACTGAAAGTACCATGGACTGCCTGCAAAAACGGCAAGGAGGCCACATGTTTTGACCTCCTCTAACCCTACAAGAGGAAGACAGGATTACCAGCAGTAACCCAAGGCCTATTCCTACAAGGCCAGACATGCTGCCTCTCCCAGCCCTTTCACCAACCGTTCCTCCCAAAGCACCCACCACCTCTCTCCTGGGTTCGATAATTCACTGCAGTGGCCACACAGAGCTCACGGATTATGGGGTTTATTAGGGAAGCACCACAGACTACAATTCAAGTTCAGGAAAAAAATGCTCAGTCTCTCTCCCAGCCCACTGTCCCTCAGCAACAGTCTCTCACAGTCTCTTTCCCAGCAGTGATGGTCCCTTAGTGTCTCCGCAATGTGTGTCTCTTGCGTCTCTTTCCCAGCAGCACGTGTCTTTCAGTAGCGCGTGTCCCTTTCAGCAGCACGTCTTCCTCAACCAGCAGTCAGAGAGAGTTCTCCTCTAGGAGGCCTCCTTTTGAGCTTGGCAAACTGGCCAAATAGCCAATCACAGCATCATAACTCTAAGCACCTGAGAGAGAGTGGGAACCTCCTAGAACATTGTTTTGTGCCACTCCCAACAGAAATACTCCAGGTGGACAACTTCAGCAATCAGGAGCTCCTCTGTTGCTAATAGCAATTCCCACCTTGGAGTTTACAAAGACTTATGGGTAGAAAAGTCACACTAAGTAACTTACTACACCGTACTGCCAGATGAACTAACAAATCTGTCTTGGGTGCAGCTGGAATTCTCCTTGGAAGCAAGAATGGCCAGACTTCACTTACCTAATTTGGTTATGTTGTCAGGAGGGACCATTCCTTGGAGAAGGATATCATTCTTGGTTCAGTGGAGGGTCAATGAAAAAGGGGAAGGCCCTCAGTGAGATGGATTGACACAGTGGCTGCAACAATGAGCTCAGGTCTAGCAAGGATTGTGAGGCTGGCACAGGACCAGGCATTGCATCGTTCTGTGGTACATAGGGTTGCTATGACTTAGCACCAACCTGATAGCACCTAACAACAATAGCAACAACATCGTATATTTATTATGGTTATGTCCTCTTCTTTAGTTGATCATTTGATCATTATGTAACATCCTTCCTTGTCCTTAATGGTGGTTTTTTGTCTTAAGGTCAATTTTATCAGAAATTAATATTGCCATTCCTGCTCTTTTTTGATTGCCTTTTGCTTGGTATATCTTTTTTCAACCTTTGATTTTTAGTCTATTTTTGTTTTTGTGTCTAAGGTGAGTCTCTTATAGAGAACATATTGATGGGTCATGTTTTCTTATCCAGTCTGCAGCTTTCTGTCTCTTGAGTGGTTCATTTAATCTATTTACATTTAGCGTAAATATTGACCATTATGAATTTGTTGATGTCATTTGTTATGTGTTTTTTGTGGTGGTGTTGATTTCTTTGTTCCATATAATTTTCTGTGCTGAGCTTGTTTTGTTTATGAGTTATGTTATCATCTTCTTCGTGGCTGTTTTAGTATTTGCTAAGTATTTGTGCTTATCCTCTTTGTTATTTTGATGTGAAGGTTTATAAATTTTCTTTGAAGTTACCCTGTAATTTATAATTTTTTCCCCAAGTTTAAAGCAGTCTGTTCTGTCTCTCAGTGGTCTTGACTTCTTCACCATTTTTAAGTTCTATAACTACACTATTCCCTCTCTTTGGTTTGTAGTGGTCCTCATTTACCAATTGATGCCTCTGATTCCCTGTTTACAGTCATAAGTTTATTTTAGTTTGAGTACTTCTATAACTGAATTGCTCTCTGGGTTATTTCATCATGTGTGTTAGTCATCAGTTGTCATTTGCTGTTGTTGGTTCTATGTCTGAAGGACTCCTTTAGCATTTTTTGTAAAGTTGGTCTAGTTTTAACAAGTGCCCTTAATTTCTGCTTATCTAGAAATCTAATTTCACCTTTATATTTGATAGAACATTTTGCTGGGTTAGAAATTTTTTTCTTTCAGGGTTTTATATATATCTTCCCATAGCCTTTTTGCCTGCATGGTTTCTGCTGAGAAATCAAAGTTTAGTCTTACTTATCAGTTGCCCTTTGTATTTAACTTTTTGTTTTTCCTGTGCTGCTTTCAAGATTCTTTCTTTGTCTTTGGTTTTGGTGAGTTTAATGATGATATAACAAAACAGATGCAGTGCAGTGCCGTTGAATCAGATCCGACTCATAGCGACCTCTCCTTGGGTTTCCGAGGCGATATCACTAGAGAAGTAGTTTGCCCTACCTTCCTTCTGAGGAGTGGCTGGTGAGTTTGAACTGCCAGCCTTCTGGTTAGTAGTTAAATGCCTTAGGCACCATGCCACCAGAGCTCCTAATGATGGTATATCTTGGTGTTTTTCTTTTGGGGTCTATCCTGTTTGGGATTTGTTGAACTTCTTGAATGGTCATATTCTCATCTTTCATCATATTAGGGAAATTTTCTTCCAACAAATCTTTGACAGTTTTCTCTGTCTCTTCCTGTTCTGGAATTCTGATTACATGTAAGTTATTCCTCTTGATTGTATCCCACAAAAACTTAGCGTCTGTTCATTATGTTTTAATCTTTTGTCTGTTTATCCTTTAAGAAAGTAGTATTGAGGTGCCTTTCTTCAGTCTCATTAATTCTATCTTCCATTGATTGAATTCTCCTTTGTTCACTCAATGTGTTATCTATTTCTGGAATATTAGTATTAATCTTTTGGATTTTTATTTGTTGTTTTTGTGTTGTTTCTAATTTTTTGTTTGTTTTGTCAATTTTTTCTTTTATTTTCCTAAATTGTTCCAGGCTTTTGTCTGTGTTTTCCTTAATATTGTCAGTGTTTTCTTTGATTTGTCTCTCAGTCTGTTGAAGGTACCCAAATATAATTCTTTTGAACTCCTTATCAGGTTGTTCCAGTGCTGCTGCTTTTTCAGAAATGTTTTCTGGATTTGTATCCTAGTCCCTTGTTTGTATTACTTTATCTTGCTTTTTTGTGTGGACTATGATGGTCTCTGAGACATTGTAGTTGTGTCGTATTTACGTTTAATTTGTGGTTGTTTGTTGGTGTGATTCTTGCAAGATTTTTTCCCCTTTATTTTGTTTTGATGTATCTCTGTAAGCAGGGTACTATGTTTCTCTGTAGGCTAGTTGTTAGCACTTAGGCACTTACCAGCTGTCTCTTGGTAGGTGTGATAGAGAATGAGAATATGTGCACAGATCTCTGTTAGCTGCTCGTAAAAAGTAGTTGAGGGGTGAATTGAGCTGGTATTGGCCTCCATCTGTCACTGGTTAGTTGTTGCAAAAGGAAGTGTTGGCCCTTGCTTAGTGAGTGGGGCTGCAGGAGGTGCAGATATGGTTGGATTGTGTGGGAATGGTTGCTCTCTCCCACTCAGACAAAAAAAAGTTAAAAAAAAAAAGACAAGAAAAAACAAGAATGAAAAACTCAAACTGCATAATGGGAACAATTGCACAAAAAAACAAAACAAAACAAAACAAAAAGCACCAACCTGAAATGCAATAAAAGGAAAAAATTTCAAAAGGGAAAAAAATGCACAGTATCTGGGGAGGGAGGAATGAGAGAAAAGAGCAAGAGTAAAATAACAGGGGAAACTACAAAAGGAAAAACAAGATGGGAGGAACCAAAAGAAAGGAAGAAGAAGGGAATTAAGAGAAGAGAACAAGAGGGAAATAACAAAAAAGAGGAACCAGGTATAAGAAAAAGAAAAAAAATTAAAAAAAAAAAAGGAAGACTGGAGGAAGATAAAAAAGAATAATTTTAAAACAAGCAAACAAAACTGGTGGGGACGGGGCATGGTACCCAGGTTCCTCCAGGGTATATTCTGGAATGGAGCCCCTGTAGGTGAAGAAGGTGGGTGGAGGCAGGAGGATGGCCACACCTCTGTTCACCAAGAGGATAAGGGGCACAAAAGTAACAAGGAGAATATTGCACCTCTCCTGTCATCAGTCTCTAGTGTGGTTGCCTGTGCTGTCCTCAGCAGGCGAAGCCCACTCCCAGGTCACAGTCCAGGCAAGAATGCCACCGTGCACACTCAAAACGGCTGTGCCAGCTGCTTACAAACGTCCAGAGTGGCTGCACTCTCAGGACAGCCCCTGGCAGTCCACAGGACCATCTATCCCCTTCCTCATTGTTCTCCCTTCTGGTCATCAGGCACCAATGCATTCCTTGCCCTTGTAGCCTTGGTGAGCAGAGTCGATTCTCAAGTTGCAATCAGGAAATATTCAAAATGGCTGTGCCCTCAGGGCAACTGGAGTTCTGCAGCTCTGTTTTGTCTCCTTACCCACTGTTTCATTCAGGTTTTCTACCGGTTTCCGTAGTGTAGTGGTTATCACGTTTGCCTCACACGTGAAAGATCCCCGGTTCGAAACCAGGCGGAAACAGTACTACGTTTTAGGAGCTCTGGTAGCATAGTGCCTAAGGCACTTGACTGCTAACCAGAAGGCTGGCGGTTCAAACCCACCAGCCACTCCTCGGAAGGAAGGTTGGGCAGTCCTGCTTCCGTAGTGATACTGCCTCGGAAACCCAAGGAGGGGTCGCTATGAGTCGGGGCTGACTCGATGGCAAATAACAACAACAACAACACTAGTTGGTATTTAATCTGCTTCTTTATCTTTCCCTCTAGAGCTCAATGTTTCAGGATTGTCTTCTGTATTAATTTCAATTGGTTTCTCATTGCTTTGTTGCAGAGGGTCTGTGTAGCTTGTCTGCCTATTCTTCTCTCTTGCTGGAATCTCCTCATCCCTACTTTTTAAAAGCTGAAGGTTTAAATTACTTGGCTATTGGTAGAGATATTGTTTGATTGAAAATTGTATACAATTCATATGAGCTTCATTTTAATACTTGATACTTTAAAATAATTTCACTTTTTTAATGTGAGAAAATTACTATATACTTTTTTTTTTAAACAGAATAAATTTAAACGTGAAGAGAAAGCAAATGGATGGAGAATAGACAAAGCATTTCGTAAGTATTAAGACTTCTGGTACAGATTACCATTTGGAATTCCTAAAAAATGACCAATCTTTTGTATTTGGCTTTGGCAAGTTTTAGATTTGTTTTGCCTCTGTATTGGCATAGGAAAATTGGAAATTTTTCTCTTTAATAATAGGAATCTGGTAGTTGCCACAGGTCTAAAGGGAAGGGACTAGTTAAAACAGCAAAAAACAGTAAACAGTTTGGAGTTGTAAGAGGTTAAAGAAGTCTGGAGATAGCACTTGTAAGTGAACAGTATTGAAGAAAGAGCTCATTGTTTCTGGAAGGTAGAGTACTGTAGATAGTTCCTTCTAGTAGTCATCCAGACAGTTAACACTGCTCACCTGCTATATGTGGCATACCCAGGGCAGGCGAAAATCCTGCATTTAGAGTCTTAAGTCTAATTTGGTAGAAGACAACTGAGAAGATGATAATTTCAGACATTGATTCATTTCTAAGAAGGAAAAGGTGGCTATTTGGTTTGGGTGATCAGGGAAGGTCTGTCTGAAGAGGTAACATTCGAATTTAGACCTAAATTGAAGAAGATAAATACCCTTTCAGCTTCTAGGTAATATTCTCATAATGTTTTTTTTTTTCCCCCCTCTATTTAAGCACAGAGAAAGCCTCAAGGGATCTATAAAGAAAATAATTAAAATGAAATGTACTATATAAAGTATGTAGTTCCTTTGTTCTTTGCTTAGAAGATAATATATTTTTTTATGACCCTGTAATTGTCAGAAGGAGCCCTGGTGGTGTGGTGGTTAAGGGCTTAGCTGCCAACTAAAAGTTCAGCAGTTTGAACCACTAGCTGTTCCACAGGAGAAAGATCTGACAGTCTACTTCTGTAAAAATTGCAGCATTGGAAACTCTAGGTGGCAGTTTTCTGTCCTATAGGGTCACTATGAATTGGAATTGACTGGATGGCAATGAGTTTTGGTTGGTTATAATTGTCAAAGTTCCATGACTAAGATATGTATTCAGTATCCATTTACCATAGTTTTAATCACCCCCCCCCCCAAATTATGGGGTTTATTAGGGAAGTAACAGGTTAAAATTCATGTTAAGGAATGTTCAGGATACAATTCTTCAGTCAAGACAGCCTCCTCTCTGCCATGCCCATAGGTACACCTCTTTGTCCCTTGACCTAGCCTCTGTCTTGCTTGGTCAAGTGTTACAAACCTCTTTTCCCTCTGACAATAGGTTGCCTAGGTGCACACCACTCCATTAGCAAGGCTCCTACCCAAAGGCAGTTAGCTTTCTCGTTGTGTGGGCCGGCAAGTCTGATGCTCTGTCTTGTGCTGGTCTATGGATTCTGCTGCCTCTGCTGGCACCTCAGCACAGGGATCTCAGGGCCAAGGCATAGTTTTAATCTTAGAAAATAATCGAAGTATAGAGAGAACTTAGATTGTGTAACATGTACACTTGTTTTATGAATACACATTAAAGTAGATGAGTGGACCTTATAAATACTCAGTGTTGTATGATATCTACAGGGAAACCACTTCCAGGAATAGTACCTGGAAGATCTGGAATATTGTGAACTTAAACCTTCTCCATTTTAGAGACATTGTCCTGAAACTTTTTCATTATGTTTAACATGTAATAATTGAGAAAGAATCCATAAATCTTTAAGCAGTCTGTTTGAGGTATGTATGAATCCTTTCTTAAAGCCATTTAAATAGATGTATTTAAAACTCAGTGATTTCAGTGGTCTATAATGGAGAGTTAAAAAAATTAAAAATCGTGTTTTATTTGAAACGGGTACTTTGAATTCCTGTGAGAACTGCACGGAAACCCTTTATGGATTATTTTAGTATGAACTGCTGTATTATAGAGGGTCAAAACAGATAAGGGCTAGGTCCAGATAAACAATGCCTTTAGGAATTCCAGATTTGTGCTTGGTTTCTTAAGACGTAACTTTTTAAATTTATTTTTTGTTTTTGTTTTGATATATACCTCCTTTTCTGAGGTCATTTTGTAACCACATCAATCATGGCTTGTATGTACATTCACTGCATTTTCAGATTTACAGCGTAGGCAAGGATTTGACTCGATATGTTCCTGATTTGTTCACTGATAGCTCTTCTTGATTATAGTGCTTTTGATGGATTTTTAATGGGAGTGATCCTGATCAATAGTCATTCTTCTTCTTCTTTGCTACATTTGAAAGAGTAGAGATAATCGTAAAATGGTTGTTATAGACAGAGGGCATATGATGCTGGATAGGCTTTTTGAGGACCTCTTAGTCACCTTAGACCATTTCTTTATTTTTAGATCTATAATTTACAACACAGTGCAGTATATAGTCTGATTAGTACAATGAATATGCCCACGTAACTATCATTCAAAACAAGAAACAGGACATTTTCTATATTCTAGAAAGGTCCTTCATGTCCCTTTCTCATTAATATCCACTACTGTTCTTCTGTTCCAAGACAACCACTATTTTAATACGAATCCCCTTAATTAATTTAGCTTGTTACAGAATGTCTTACTTGTGGATTCATACAGTGTGTATGCACTTGTGTTTGTCTTCTTTCAGTCACCATGTTTTTGACATTTATCTGTATTATATGTCTCTGTAGTTTGTTCTTTTTTATTGTGGAGTGGTGATCTAGTGTGCAGTGATATTACAGTGAATGGAGTTGTTTATTTTCCTATAATAGACACATACATTTGCTTTTGGTCTTATGATGCTTTAAAAAAATCAAAACTTGAAAATCTTTTCCTTTTTTTCAAACAGAAGAAAAGCGCCCTTTTGACTTCGATTTTTTTGCTCATTTGCTTCAGAAAGTTCTTGCCGAAGAAGAGAAAAGAAAACAAAAATCAGTTAAAAATCACAATTCAAAGGAGAAGAAATCTTCCAAACCACGGAAAAAAGTAAAAGGTATTTATTTTAAAAGAAGTTGTGCTATTTTACTTAGAAGTAATATACTTCAAATATTGTCCCTCAAATCTTTAAGAGTCCATTGCAGGGAATTGATTTTTCTTTAATCTATTTACCCAGGCAAAAATATCAGTTCCTTTTTAAATTTTATAATATGCATGGCTACACTGTTTTACATCTTTCTAGCACTTACAGCATGTTGTTGTTAGGTGCCATTGAGTTGCTTCCAACTCATAGTGACCCCTATATACAACAGAACAAAACACTGCCTGGTCCTGCCCCATCCTCACAATCATTGCTGTGTTCAAATCCATTGTTGCAACTACTGTGTCAGTCCATCTCATTGAGGGTCTTCTTTTTTTTTTTTGCTGACCCTCCACCAAGCATAATGTCCTTCTCCAGGGACTGGTCCTTCCTGATAACATGTCCAAAGTACATAAGATGAAGTCTCATCATTCTCGTTTCTATGGCGTATTCTGGCTGTACTTCTTCCAAGACCTAGAGCACAGTTGTAGCTAATTAAAGAGCACCAGAATTTTGGAGTTTAATTTTTTGTGTTTGATTATTTATTATCATTTTCCTCTGTTAAAAAAATCTGGTGCAGAATCCTAATATTTGAAAAAATGGAAGTATAATACTTTGGGGTTGTACTAGCTTGTATTGTTTGAGCATGGTTTGTTTCTGAAGGTTAATGTCAGTGTGTAGGAAATTGTTTGTATGTAGTTATTCCTGTTCCTAGGCTTACTTTTTTATAACTGTTTGAACTTTGAACTATGAGAACAATGTTTAGCTATAATCACATAATTTTTAAATTCTGGACTGCCGGAAGAGTAAACAAATCTGTTTTTGAAGAAGTACATCCAGAATCCTCCTGTAAGTCAGGATGGCTCTCATGTGCTTTGGACATGTTATTAGAAGGGACTAGAGCCTACAGAAGGACATCATGCTTGATAAAGTAGAGAGTCATCAAACAAGTGGAAGACCCTCACCAAGATGGATTCACATAGTGGCTGCAAGAGTTGATCAGACGTAGCAGTGATTGTGAGGATGGTGCAGGAATGAGAAATGTTTCATTCTGTTGTGCACAGGGTCATTATGAATTGAAACTGACTCAGTGGCACCTAGCAGTAACACACACACATACATATATACAGGTATGCCTCCCTTAGTGTCCATGATAAATTTTGTGAAATAGGATGTTATGTGATTTGGACATTGTATGAGCACTGTATTAAAACCTCATGGGAGTCCAATTCTAGTTGTCCTGATTGCTGCTGCTATTGCTGCTTGAGCTGCTGGCAGAGGCCAGAGGTGGTGGTGCAAGCTGAGTGAGAGTAAGTGAACGGGGAGGGAGCTGAGCACACTCAGCCCTGCCTGTTCTGCCTGCCTGAGCAGCAGAAACAGCAGGGACTTGCAGACTCAGTCACTGTCACCCACTTGCCAGCTGTACAAAACCTGAGAGCCCATGCCTGAGCCATGTCCTCTGTCTTACGTGCCTGTCCCACCTGTTATGGATTTAATTTTGTCCTCCCAAAATATGTGTCAACTTGGCTAGGCTACAATTCTCAGTGTTAAGTAAATACTCTATATGTTGTAAATCCTAACCTCTTTGATGTTAATGAGGCAGTATTAGGCAGTTATGATGATGAGGAAGAATTCAGTTTACAGGATTAGCTTATATCTTCAGTCAATCTCTTTTGAGATTTAAGAGAGATTAAACAAATGAGAAGAATTCAGAGGGGCTTCCTACCAATAAGAAAGAAGAGCTGGGAGCAGAGCACCTCCTTTGGACCCAGAGTCCCTAGGTTGAGAAACTCCTTAACCTTGGGGAAGATTGATGAAAAGTACCTTTCCCCAGCACTGACAGAGACAGAAACCCTTCTCCTGGAACTGTTGTTGTTGTTGTTACGTGCTTTTGAATTGTACCCGACTCATAGCGACCTCTCCTTGGGTTTCCGAGGCAGCATCACTGTGGAAGTAGATTGCCCAACCTTCCTTCCAAGGAGTGGCTGGTGGGTTTGAACCGTCAGCCTTCTAGTTAGCAGTCAAGTGCTTTATGCACTATGCTACCAGAGCTCCCTCTCCTGGAACTAGCACACTGAATTTGGACTTCTAGTCTGAACAGTAAGAGAATAAATTCCTGTTTGTTAAAGACATCCGCTTGTAGTACATCTGTTATAGCAACACTAGATAACTAAGATCCCACTAGTGGTCCAGTGCTGCAGGAGTCTGGGGTTGAGGTCTTTAAGACCATTGCTGTTGTTGTTATGTGCTGTTGAGTCGGACCCGACTCATAGCGATCCCTCCTTGGGTTTCCGAAGCAGTATCACTATGGAAATAGATTGCCCATTCTTCCTTCCAAGAAGTGGCTGGTGGGTTTGAACTGCCAGCCTTATGGTTAGCAGTCAAGTGCCTTAGGCACTATGCTACCAGAGCTCCCATTAAAACCATTAGGGGAAAATAATAAACAAAAAGAGAGCTGCTTTTCCCTAAAAAGAAAAAAAAAAACCAACAAACCTTATGAGACCACAGATGTATATGCAGTCAGATGTTGCCTGAATGGACTTTAAGTGCATACGTGTGTGTGTGTGTGTGTGTGTGTGTATGTTCTTTTGTGGAATGTCTGTCAAGTCCTTTGCCCATTTTTCGATTGCATGTTTCTCTTTCTATTGTTAAGTTACAGAAATTCTTTATATATTCTGGATGTTATCAGATTTATGATAGATAATCAGATACTTATTTTCTTCCATTCTGTAGGTTGTCTCCTCATTTTGTTGATAAAGTCTTTTGCAAAAAAAAAAAAAATTCAGTTTCATGAAGTCCAATTTATATTTTGTTGCTTATGCTTTTGATGTCATATCTTAAGATTCCTTTGTAAAACTCAAGGTCTTTTAAAGTTTAACCTCTACATTTTTTCTAAGCATTTTATGGTTTTACTTCTTATATTTAGGTCATTGACCAATTTTGAGTTAATTTTTTTATATGGTGTGAGGTATGGGTCCAAGTTCATTCTTTTGCATATGGAGATCCAGTTACCTCAAGCACCATTTATTGAACAGACTATTCTTTCCTCATTGAATGGTAAAATTAGGTATTTGTAGAGAAGATGTCTGATCAGCCATAGCTATGAAGTTAAGTTTATTTTTGGCTTGGAAAGTATTTCCATGGTGAACTCTACTTCTTAGTTTTTTATACATAATTCATTGATTTCATCATTTGAAGCAGTTGGTTATTAATATGCATTAATAAGAAAGGGACTAGAGATTGTTTTAAAATTTTTGTTAAAATGAATTTTCATTGGAACACAAATGATACAGAAGCTAACGTTTTCTCTCCTTTACTCTTTTGACAAATTCTTCAGGTTTCCCAGAGAGTTTCTATGCCCTTTTCTATGCAGACAGGTGTGCATGTGTGTCCTATAAAGTATATGTAATTGTTGTTGTTTAATATAAATGAGATCGTACTGTATAGTTGTGCAACTTGATTATTTTATGCCATGACATGCTTTAAAAATCTTTTATGTGATTATATATAAACCTACCGCATTGTTATTGGCTGCATGGATTTTTATAGCATGAATGTATTGTAACTGATAATACCATTTCCTATGGGGCATTAGGGAGCTCTGGTAGCATAGTGGCTAAAAGCACTTGACTGCTAACCAGAAGGCTGGCGGTTCAAACCCACCAGCCACTCCTCGGAAGGAAGGTTGGGCAATCCTACTTCTGTAGTGATACTGCCTTGGAAACCCAAGGAGGGGTCGCTATGAGTCGGGGCCGACTCGACAGCACATAACAACAACAACAACAATGGGGCATTATAGATTGTATTAAATTTTATTTTCTCACACAGATAATACTTCCTTGAATATTTATGTTCTCTAGTTTTAAGAATGTTTCTATAAATTGTTTATAAATTCATAACCATTTTTCTTCTTTTCAGGGAAAAAAGTTGTCAGTAAAGAAGTGAATGATGGTCCAAATGAATCTATGAGTACTCATGTTTCAGACAGAGAAGGGCTTCAAAAGGATGTTCAGACAGTTGAAGAACAACAGCCATCTCTGGCTTTCTCAGAACAGGATTCAGGACAGATTACATTAGAATCAGATTTAAATCAAAAGAAAAGGCAAAGGAGAAATCAAAATGAAACTGATGAACAAGTAAGAAACCTTTCGGGAAGCGCCACTGTTCAGTCAAGCCATTCCAAAGGAGGAAAACACAAAAGTAAGTTTCTTTTACATTTCAACAGCTAATATCTTACCTGAGAAGATGTGTAAACTAATGCAAAAATACTTTCCTTTGGATAGTAACAATTAATCCTTATTAATTGGTTCTGTGTTTACGGTACTATATTAAACCTTATTATTTTTAACTAGATAAAAAACCTTATTATTGTGAAAAATAATAATAATAAATTTGAATAAAGTGGGAGATTTTTCTCTAAAGTTTGTAAGATGTTTTTACCTCCTATGTACTTCCATCAACAGTGTTCAGAATCCACATGTATATGGTTAAATCTGTTAACAGAGCATATGTGTTTTACCTTTACAAAGCACCTTTGTGAACCCAATGAAGTGTTTAATTTCTATAAAAGAACTGTTAGAATAAATTTTCTTATTTTTCTTGTGTTCTAGTCACTTGGAATGTGGACATAATGACACTGGTGAGTTAGAGAATTAGGGCAAGAGTTTAGGGAAGGCTTGATCTCTTTTCTTGAGAGTTCATATATAGATTACTTAAAGCAGTTGGTCAACTAAAGGGAGGAGAAAAAGATAACATGAGAACAGCATTACTATAGAGTTGAAACTTATGTAGGTTATCTTCACCAATATGATTTTAATAAATGAGTCTGATTGGTTATCATAGATAGTCATCACATTTGCAGCCTACTATTAGAGACATTACATATGAAGTAGAATAGCTTAATGATTATAGAATGAAACTTTGGAAGCAAACACACCTTGATTTTAATATCATTGCTGGTGTCAGATGGATCTGCAAGCAAAGAATACCAGAAAGATGTTTACTTGTGTTTTACTGACTGCAAAAGCAAAAGCATTCGACTGTGAATCATAACAAATTATGGATAACATCGAGAAGAATAGGAATTGTGCTCATGAGGACTGTACATAGATCAGAAGGGTGTCGTTCGAATAGAACAAGGGGATACTGTGTAGTTTAGAGTCAGGAAGGGAGTAAGTTATGTTTGTATCCTTTCACCATACTTATTCTATCTGTATGCTGAGCAAATAATCTGAGAAGCCAGACTATATGAAGAAGAATGTGGCATCAGGATTGGAGGAAGACTTAGTAACAACCTGTGATATGCAGACGACACAGCCTTACTTGTTGAAAGTGAAGATGACTTGAAGTACTTACTGATGAAGATTAAAGATTACAGTCTGCAATATGGATTACACCTCAACATAAAGAAAATAGAAATCCTCACAACTGGACCAATGAACAGCATCATGATAAATGGAGAAATGATTGAAGTTGTCAAAGATTTCGTATTACTTGGATCCAGTATCAGCACAATGGAAGCAGCAGTCAAGAAATCAGACATCATATTGCGCTGGGCATTAGTGCTGCAGAAGACCTCCTTAAAGTGTTGAAGAGCAAAGAGTCTCTTTGAAGACTAAGGTGCACCTAACCCAAGCCATGGTGTTTTCAGTCGCCTCATGTATGCAAAAGCTGGACAGTGAATAAGGAACACCAAAGAAGAGTTGATGCTTTTGAGTTTTGGTGTCGGCAAAGAATACTGAAAGTATCATGGACTGTCAGAAAAATTAACAAATGTGTTCTGGAAAAAGCGCAGCCAGAATGTTCCTTGGAAGCAAGTATAGCCAGACTTCATCTCATGTACTTTGGTCATGTTGTCAGAAGGGACCATTCCCTGGAGAAGGATCTCATGCTTGGTAAAGTGGAGGGTCAGTGAAAAAAAATAAGGCCCTCAAGGAGACAGTGGATTGACAAAGTGGCTGCTACAGTTGGCTCAGGTACAGTGAGCATTGTAAGGCTGGTGCAGGACTGGGTAGTGTTTTGTTCTGTTGTACTTAGGGTTGTTATGAATTGGAGCTGACCTGATGGCACCTAACAACAACAACAACAACAACAACAACAACGTATTACTAAATATATGACCTAAGGCAAGAAGTCACGATCTCTTCTCTATGATGGGGATAATATAATATGTTCTAATAGACATGGTTTCAATATTGGATGAGATGATGCATCAGAAAGACAGCAGAGTTCCTACCACTTGATAAATGATAAATTGCTGTGATACCAATTATGACACTTTTGAAGGAGCAGAAGAATAGTCAAGTCCACTTTTCATTGCCTGACTTGACGTAAAACAAGTGAATTTAACCAATTCAGATTTAAGCAGTGTACAAGGAAGATGCTACAAACTGCCCAGGAAATTTTAGGCTGGATCTTAAAAGAACTGACCCCATCCTGTTCATTAAGATATTTTCATATAACAAATAGTTTTATGTTGATTAAATTTTCATTATTCTCTAAAAATAAATACCTTGTGTATAAGAACTTGAATGTTGGGTGAATTAATGATTCATAGGAAAAAACAACACTAGGTAAACTCTTTCCTGTTTTAAATTATAATTGAAAGATTTTTGATGTCATTTTTCATAATAATATATATTTGTATTCATAGGTAAATGTGAATCTTTAAGGCCAGAGGTAAATGATAGTGAATGCAATAGGGAACAGAAGCTTTCCTGCTTACAGGACACAGATGACATTGTGGACTTACTGTCCAGTGAAAAAGTTGAGAAAAGAACTGACCCCATCCTTTCATCAAGGTATTTTCTATCTGACTGACTTTACTGAAAGAAGAGTATTAAAGTCTTCTATACTATGGGTCTGCTTATTTCTTTTTCTAGTTCTGTGCATTCTTATTTCAGGCATTTTGAAGTTCTGTTGTTAGGTGCATAATATCCAGAATTTCTTGTCTTCTTGGTGAAATGACCATTTTATCATTGGGTAGTATTTTGTATCTCTGGTCAATTCAGTGTTCTTATATTTCCCATTCTGGGGTAAATTGTAAAATGAAACATTGCTATTTCAGCATTTTTAATATAGTTGAGTGATATTAACTGTGCTCATCATGATGTGCTGTTTCCACATTTTTTCATCATCCTTAACAGAAGCTCAGTGTTCCTAAACAATTACTCTCTTTCTTGTTCTGTCTGTCCCTGTAACCACTAAAAAAACTTTGGTCTCTATACATTTGCCTATTCTAGATATTTCATACAAGTGGAATCATACAATATTTGTCTTTTTTGGGACTGTCTTATTTCACTCAGCACAGTGTTTTCAGGGTTCATCCATGTTTTAGCATTTATCAGGACTTCGTTTCTCTTTATGGCTGAATACTATTCCGTTGTATGTATGTTTATCTATTATTCATCTGTTGATGTACATTTAGGTGGTTTCCACCTTTTGGCTATTGTGAATACTACTTCAGTGACCATTTGTGTACAAATGCCTATTTGTGTTTCTGCTTTCAATTCTTTTGGGTATACCTAGGAGTGGAATTGGTGAATCATATGTTAATTCTATGTTTGACTTTTTTTGAGGAATCTTCCAGCTGTTTTCCACAGTGGCTGCATCATTTTATGATCCCAGCAATGGATGACGGTTCCAGTTTCTCCACATCCTCACCAATGTGTTGTTTTCTATCATAACAGTTTTAGTGGGGATGAAGTGATACTTCATTGTAGTTTTGATTTGCATTTCTCTAATGACTAATGATGTTGAGCTTCTTTCATGGGCTTGTTAGTCAATGTTTTTTCATATCCGTTGCCCATTTTTTAATTATGCTGTTGTCTTTTTTGATAAATTATATATATATATATATATATATATATATATATATATATATATATATATATTTAAAAGCCTTATCAGATATATGGTTTCCTAAACTTTTCTCCCAGTTTATATTGTCTCTTCACTTTGTTGACAATGTTCTTTGATTAACAAATTTTAAAAATTTGATGAGATGCCGTTTATATATTTTCTTTCGTTTATGTTTTCAGTGTCCTATCTAAGAAACCATTGTTAAAAACGAGATCCTGAAGTATTACCCGTATGGTTTCTTCTAAGAGCATTACAGTTTTTCATTCTCACATTTAGGTCCTTAATCAATTTTGAGTTAATTTTTATATATGGTGTGAAGTATGGGTCTAGTTTCATTCTTTTTGCATGTGGAAATCCAATTGTTCTTGCTCAGTTTATTTAAGTGACTTCTTTCCAGATTGAATATACTTTACACACTTGTTGAAAAATCAGTTGACCATAGATACATGGGTTTATTTTTGGACTCTAAATTCTGTTCCATTGGTCTATCTATCTAGCATTATACTGTTACCAGACTCATTTGATCCTGTACCTTTATCATTTGTTTAGAGATCAGAATGTGCAAGTCCTCCTACTTGTTTTGGTTTTTTTTCTCAATATAGCTGTTCGGTTTACCTAGTACCACTTTGACAGGAATATATACCACAAATGGGATGGCTTGTAAAGACAGGAATTTACTCTTACAATTTGGAGGCTTTAAGTCCAAGTTCAAAGTGCCTGGCTCTAGGGGCTAGGTGTAAGCCCCTCAGCCTTGGGCTTCAGCTCTGCCTCCTGCTCCTGGCCCACTGAATCTAGAGGCTTTTCTTCACTCAGATAGCTGCTGGCTGCTGAGGTTGACAAGCCCAAGGTTGACAAGTACAAAGGCACAGTCCCGATGTTACCAAACCACACGGCAGGCCATTCATTCAAGTCCATTGAAAGTCCCAAGGTCGGCAGAGCATGGCAGGCTGCTAAACAGTGACATGGCTACGTGCAGGGTTAATCATGCCATAAGCTAGAGACCATTCCCAAAGCTGCTTCTTACATATGGGAAGCAGACCGCATCCCCAAACCAGCTTCTCAGCTGCTTGTGGTAGATCCCACCATGGAGTTGATTACCAGTCTCATCATGGGGAATAACTACCACCAGCTGCCCAGCCACTCAACCAGGCCCAACCAAGTTGACATACAACTTTAACTACCACAACAGCCTTCACTGTTTGGGGCCCCTTGAAGTTCCGTATAAATTTGAAAATTGATTTTTCCATTTCTGAAAAGGCTATTGGAATTTTCATAGGGATTGTGTTGGATCTATAGGTTGCTTTGTATAGTATTAACATGAGTAGTATTAAACCTTCTGATCAATGAACATGGAATGTCCATCCATTTATTTAGGGCTTCTTTAATTTCTTTCAGAAATGAGTTACAGTTTTCAATGTATAAGTTTTTCACTTCACTTGGTTAAATTTATTCCTATGTATTTTAGTCTTTCACATGCTATTTTAAATGGAATTATTTTTTTTATTTCTGTTTGAGAATGCTCATTGCTAATGAAATTCATCTGAGTTTTGTGTATTGACCTTGTATCCTGCCACTTTGCTAAATTTATTTATTAGCTCTAGTTGCTTTCTTGTAGAATTGTTGAGGTTTTCCAGATATATGTAGGATCATGTCATTAGAGAAAAGGGATAGTTTTACTTCCTTCTTCTCAATTTGGATTCATTTTATTCTTTTTCTTGCGTAGTTGCTCTGGGTAGTATTTGCAATAAAATATCGAATAGCAGTGATGAAAATATTCTTTCATTTTTTTGAACATATTTTTACTAGATAGAGTTCTGGGTTGACGGTTATTACTCTTTTAGCACTTTGAAAGTGCTTTTGGTTTGTGTAGTTGACAGGTCATATAGTTTCTACCAATAAGTTTGCTGTAATTCTTCTCTTTGTAATTTTCTTCTGGTGTTTGCTTCTGAGGTTTTTGTTTTTTTTAGTTTTTATTGTGATTTGGGTGAAAGTTTACAGAGCAAATTCACTTTCCCCATAGCAGCTCACATACACTTTGTCTCATGACATTGACTATAATTTCCCATAATGCAACAACTCCCTTCCCACCTCCCCATAGTTACCTCTTCCCTTTGTCCTTCCTTCCCATGCACTCCTGCCCCCTAAGCTGTCACCCTGTGCATACACAGCCCTTCTATTCTCCCATGATTCTCTCTCCACTACTGTAAATTTCAGCTCATATGCCTGTCTTTTGTTTGGCTGGAAGCCACAGGAGTGGGTTCAATTCCAGACCTGAAGCGCAGCTAAGGGCCATAGTCTAAGTGGTTCCATCACGCTCTATCAGACCAGCAAACCTGGTCCCCCCCCCCCCTTTTTTTTCCCAAATGATGTTGAGTTTTGTTCCACATTGTTCTCCTATTCTGTCCAGGTTCTCCTACATAGATCCCCCTCCTGAGTGATTGACAGTGGTAACCAGCCACCATCTAGTTCTTATGGTGTTATAGCCATATAGGCAAAGGGTTGCATAATATACCAGTCACTTAGACTAATTGTTTCCATGAAACTTTTGTTTTCTTCATTCTTCTTTGCTCTGGATGAGGAGAGACCCATCATTGCATCTAGATGGCCACTTGCAAGCTTTTAAGATCCTAGTTGCTACTCGCCAAAGTAGGATATGGAACAGTGTATTTGTGTAGTATGCTATGCCAGTTGAGCTTGATGTTACCTGTTACTATGGTCTTGAGCCCACAGGTCCATCTACTTTATTTAGGTAGCTGGCTGTGCCCAAGAAATGACTACAGGCTTGTCCCTTGTCAGTTCTGTATACCTGGGAATTCATATAGAACATACAAATATACTTGTAGAAACATTGTTTGCCCACCCTATACATGGTCTTGGGCACACTCTTCCCTGAATAGACATACCTAATCGTTCAGCCTGTCCACCCATCTATCCACCCATGTATCAGTGTGCCTGCACTGACAATGCAGTACTGTATGTGCAAAAGGGTTCATCTTTGTTGCCTTTACCTCCCATATACCTCTATATGACTTCCTCTTAATGCCACTGTGTTGCTCACACTTCTGAGGTTTTTTTTTTGTTGTTCTCAACAATTTGAATATGTGTCCTCATGTGTGGACTTTTTTTTTTTTAATCCTGTGCTTTTTAACTAAGCTTTTAATATACTAATCATAATTATTTAAAATGACATATCTGTTAATTTGACATTAGGGTTATTTATCAGTCTGGTTCTGTTGGTTGCTTTGTCTTTTGCCTTTCTGTGTGTGTCTTGTAATTTTTGATTGAAGGCCAGATAGCATGTGTATCACAGTAGGAACTAAAATAAATAATATTTTTCTCTAGAAATGACCATACCTCTTCTGCTAGGTTGTTAAGGTAGGAGATAGAGTCGATCGAGTTAAGAGTTGAGCTGGATTTCAGTTTTGTGGTTGCTGTGGTTACCTTTAGTGTACCATATGTGTTAGATGATATTATTATTTCTCAATCTAATAGTTTAACAGAAGGATGTTGCTTTATTTGACTTTGTGGAATGTAATGGGAGTATTAGAACTGACTAGTTAGAATTAGAAACATGTGTAAATGAAAGTCAGGTTATGGTATTCCAAACACATACATTAGCATTTCCTTATGTAGAGCCATTACCTAATAAACTGTTATATGTAGAAGAGGAATAACCAGTGCTGTTAGTGACTCATAGTTTTTTTTTTTTAATGTCATGGTCTTTCTTTTATAAATTTAATGACATATGAGTTCAGAGAAACAACTAATTTATTAAGCTACACATAAAACCATAATCATGAGTTTTTCTAATTTTGGCAAAGAACAACCCTGTAATGACTGCTAAAATCTCAATTGGTTTTGAAAGATAGCTGATTCTAAAATTGTTATATAAGAGCCAAAGGTCATGCATGAGTGGTAAAAAGAGTTTTTAAAAGCAGCAACTCAGGAGAAGGAACATATTAAGACTTACTCTAAAGCTAGAGTAATGAAAGTAGTATAGCACTAGTACGGTGTAGACACATTGGTTTATTCAGTGCAACTGAATGTAGAGTCTACAAGACATTTGGGAATCTGAGATATGGCATAGGTGACATTAGAAATCAGTGGGCAACAACTGAATGAACTACTCAGATGGTGATGAGATATGAAAAAGATAACATTAGATCTGTATTTCACTTTCTGTACCAAATATCTGATGGATTAAAGAGTGCAGTATAAAGTAAATCTTTAAAACTTTAAAAAGAAAATGTAGGAAAATGATTTTATGGTGTCAAGTATGCAAGGCTTTCTTAAGGCACAAAAAGCACAAACTTTTAAAAGATAAGTGATAAATTTGTCTGCAGTAAAATTATGTACTTTGATTAATGGAAGTCTTCCTAAAGAAAATGAAAGACAAGCTAGTGACTAGGATATTTTATATGTAAAACCTAGTTAATAAAAAAAAAATAGATAAAGAAATCTTACTGATCTGTTGGGAAAAGATAGACATTCAGTTTAAAAAAAACAATGTACTGAAAAAAATATGACAAGATATGCATATACGTTAAAGCTGGGTGCTAGTTGGTACATGCTGTCGATTAGGTTATGTTGAAATATTTCATATTACATTAGTCCTTGCTTTGACATAGCATAGCATTAACTGCAACTTGAGCATGTAGCCTAACTATTGGTTAACACATTATCAAAACAAGGACTGCCTGTATACAATTCTAATAAAAGATAATTCCTAAATATTACTGTGATTTTACATGTACATGTTCATTTTTGAATCCAGTATAACCAGCAGTTTCTCATTTTGTGAATTCTTGAGCACTTTTCCATGCATTTTCTGTGTCCTTTTGTGGCTGCTGCTTACTCTGAAGGTAACTGTTCTTTATAACATGAAGCAAGAAGGATCCTGGTAAAACCAAAATAAATCAGTTTTGATTATTCCCTTATATGAAGGATCATCTTTGAAAGTGCTGATTTTATATATTTTAAGAAATCTTTTAAATAATTAGTATAAAAAATGTATTGCTGAAGATTTTTTTCCTCTGATATGTTTTCATTTCCTCAGTAATCAACAAGATGCCACGGTAGCAACTGAGTGTTCAGAATCGAGCACTTCGAATTTGCCTTCTTCAGAAGTTGGAGCTAGAACATTGTCTGAAGTGAACAATGCTGAGAGTAGGTGTACAAAAGAAAGAAATGTTGACCTAAAAAATAAGTTACTGTAAGTGTTTAGTATTTATTTACATATTTTTGTTGTGGCTAGAGTTTCAAATCTTTGGTAAAGTTTTTTTTTTTTTTTTTTTTATTAGG